ATCCCTCTTGGATGGAATCACTTCGTTTTGTTGCCTCTACGCCTCTGCAAAGGAGGAAAGTTGGCAACAAGAACCACTGAAGGTAAATTGGACTTTTTAATGGTGCCTTCTTCATTACCTTCAGTAAGAAATCTTTGTCATCACACCTCGTACACCCACCAGCAGTCTCCCGTCCCCTCCTCCCGGCCTGCCAAATTGAGAAGTGGTGTTTGCTATAGTCTAAATTGAAATGGACTGACTCAGAACGATATGCACGTTAGCCACCGATATGGTTAATAGGATGGATACGTCGCTTGTCTCTAAGTTTGTTGCCACCATGATTACCCGCTAATGGAAGGAGGTGTTCTAGAAGTCATGGTTTAATATGATTAACTAGATGGTAGTCTACTTCTACACTACCTAACCCACTTGACCCATCTCCGGATCAGTGATAGGGCTAAGGTTACTTCTAAAAACCCTAGATCCCTGGATACTTCGTCACCTTTATCAATTGTGAAGAAGGGATCAGGCGGCAAGTAAACACGACCGGCAAATTCCCACCGTTACGCCGACCACACAAACATCTCACCATAAACGCCGTGCCATGAAAAATGTCACACAGAAGCGACTCACGAGGAATGGGTGGTCAGTTATTAATTAAGGCTAAGTATTAATATCCCAAATTCTGCTCTTTCTCTCTCTCTATCTCACTTTTTAATTAATGCAATCTTTTATATGACAGAAATGGCTCGGGTATTATCCCACATTGGGAATCTCCATACCCTTTTTATTCCTCCTTTAGTCTTGCTCGCGGCGATGGGAGGTGGGTGGGTTGGGCCGAGGTGGTGGAGGGGGTGGGAAAGGAGAGGAAAGTATTTCCTATAAAATGTAGAGAAGTGGGGGTGTTAAGAAGGGTCGGGAATAAAAAGGAAGGCATGGATGTAGACAAATTAAATTATGCAGAATCCTTATGCGCATAAATTGTCATTTTTAAATGAATAAATTAAGTGACAATTCTTCCCGCCCCCCCCTCCCAGGAGGATGGTGACTCACTCAACAAAACTACTAATTAGCAGCGAGCACAATTTCCTCCCAAAAGTAATATTTTTGTTTTTAATTAATGACAGAAGAAAGAGATGAAGTTGATGCCAATTTTCTACTCCTCGTAAATTATGTCTGCTCTAGAGGCACATAAAAAAGGAGAGAAAAATTCCCAAACCTCTCCACCTCCGTGCCTTATCCCTCCTTTCATGTCCGATCAATTTTTTTGTATGCCATGTAAATAGTGGCTTGAGAATCAAGAATGGCCGCCTAACCAGAAGGTAATTAGGATATCACCATTGCAAAGACCTCATTACCCTCAGTGGTTCTTGTTGCCAACTTTCCTCCTTTGCAGAGGCGTAGAGGCAACAAAATGAAGTGATTCCATCCAAGAGGGACAGCAGTGACTGTCTAATGTTATCATCTACTAATGTCTCCAAATGGAAATGGGAAAATAGGGGGCATCAGTTTAGTAAATACTGCCCAAGATAATTACGAATATGCCCAGGCGATTGCTTGTTTTACTGGAAGTCTGGAAGCGCCCCAATCCTTCATGGGGGCGTACGAGGTGGAGCAGAAGAGGGGACAGTGAGGAATGGCAAAGAGGCTACAGAATTTTCATTAATCTGACCCACAACTGAGTCAGGCAAGACAACTGAACAAGTGGATTAATCGTTGTAGACCAAATCAACTATCCCAATGTTCGGGTCAGGTAATCAGTATTTTGGACAGAGAAGGGTACGGTGGTGCATCAGTAGATCAGTCATGCACACAGTCATTTGATTGGTATCCGTGAGGATTCGAGCTATCCCGCCTCACGGATTCATCCTTGTTCAACAACTGACAGCACATTCGTCGCTTGTCCCTGCCTCGTGTCACTTTTCACTTCACGACAATTGTGGTGAGGTGGCTTTACCCGCACCCTCAAATCAGTCATCTAGTATTCGTGGTGTCCGCGTGATGATGGAAATTTGCCGGTCGTGCTTACTTGCCTCTTGATCGCTTCTGCATACTCTCTACAGGTGGCAGTGGTGAGCGAACTTGATCCAGGTGACGAGGCATCTCGAGATCTAGGGCCATTAGAGGCAACCTTAGCCCCATTCCTGACCGTGGCCTTAACCCTGGCACATAACCGTCAACCTGGCATGCATTTTGGGCGGGTAAGAAGATAGGTCAAGTGGGTGAGTTACTGTAGACGAAAAATACCATCTACTTATTCACATCAAACCGGGACTTTTGGATTGTATCCCCTAATTTGCAGGCAATCGAGGCCATTTCCTTACCTATTTTTATATTTAACCGACAAATGCGGAGCACGTCAGTTCTATAAATAAAATTTTTTAAATCTCACCCGTTGTGTCTACGGAGTGGTCTTAGAACCCCTCCTAAAATGCGATATGACTGAGTAAACTTCAAAAGCCTTTTATTAAAGAAATTTGAGGCCTTGCGTTCGTTTAAAATGAATTATAAAAAAAGAGCGCTTCACGAACGCGTGAGGAATCCCCATGGCATTCACCCAGTTAAAGATATTTAGAAAATTAAGAAGCGCATCAAGTGTCCAGAAAGCAGCTGAGTGGATTTTGGTTTAGCCCACTGTAATATGTGAAGGAGACTTTTAAAGTACATACGATTGTTTACATAAGCGCAACCACTCCAAGGGTGTGGTATCCTCCCTTCACTCATCAAATGCGAAGTATAGCGTCCAAAGCATTTACTGCCAGAAGTGGCGTTAAACATTTCAACGGACGCATAACATTCTAACGAACTAACTGGCTGGTGTTTGATTTTAACAAGTTTGGCTTAATTGCCGAGTAAAGTACTGTGAGTCCGATGGGTCAAGAAAAACTTTGAAGAATGTTTCACTTAAACAGTGTGCAAGAAAACGACTCATAACATTGTCAAACTCACCTGAAGAAAAAACGCACTTCATGATCGGAGGACAATGCAACCTCACCTCGTCCCTCGTATTCCCGTAATAATATTCCTCCAACTGCTTGTTACCTTGTCTTAGAACAAGCATTCGACAACCACACGATCGTGAGTGATAAAAAAGTAAGAGAGAAGGTGACCTGCATTTACAGACAAGCTCGTGTCCCATTGGGAAAGGACTGTAAACTACAAAACGGAGTAACTAGCCGAATACAATACTATCAGGACAATTCTTGCCGTTTCTATAATTTACTTTAATAAAAAAGCCCAAACAAACCTGCTAGACCGTTTTATCAAAAAGATTTCCAGAAGTCGAAACGATGGAGGCCATGACACGCCTAAGGAACTTCCGTGCTCCGGTGGAACTATCCAACGGATGACTGATAAAAATACGAAATAAGGTTTTTACTTATTTAAAAATAAGTAGCACAGAGATCTAACACAACAAGCAAAACTAGCGCCGGCTTTCCAGAACCTCTTCTTCATGATAAATCAGGGTATAAATGTACAGGTCACAGGGTTACAAAATAGGTTCCTCATTAAATGCACAAGTTACATCATCCACTTTACATCACTCGGATGGTCCGTCAGCACTGGTGCCGGGTAGGGCAACGTCCTCCCGCAACCATCGACTCTCCAGCTCCTTCAACTCTTGCTGTCTTCGCTTAAATTTGGCCGAGTCTGCCGACACCACCATTTCCTGAATGTTCTGCAATTGCATATCAATTTTCAGCAACTTTGCGGTGGGGGATAAGAGATCCAGTTCGACATCCCCTTCTACCACTGTTTCGACAGCGCTGCTCACCTGGGAATACTCTAGCGGCCAATGCTCCAACCATCGAGAGCCCTTCAGCAAACTTGGCAAAGGAATATAGGCCGATCTCGCAGTTTTCATGAGGTGTACGCAAGGCAAGCGCCATTGAAGACTGAAGGAACAACAGCATTTTCGCGTCGACAGATCAAGGAGCACTTCTGAGCACGTTTGCATAGTCTCGATGTGAGCAAGAACTACTTTTGCCACTGGCTCAGAGAGAAGGCGGAGGAGGGCTTGAACGTCATCTGGTTGACCAGGAAAATCGTGCTTGCAAATAAACTCATAGGACTGTTTGTTTGGAACCGCAAGCTCAAGTAACCTCTTCGCACAGGAATCGAGGCTGCCGTGTATTTTGAGGACCGATTCAAAGTGCTCCAAACTAGCCGAGTTCCGATTTTCAATGCCGAAGGTTAACTGAGTGAGACGAAGATGTCCAGCCCATTGCTCGGCGCATGGCATCCAAATTTCATTAATGAGGTTCCAAAACGCTGGCGAATCATTAGCGATCTCTTGAAGGGATGCTAGGTAAGCCTCACTATCTGGGGTCTTCACCGCATTAAAGAAGTGCTGAAAGAGGTCTTTCTTATCACAGTGCAAAACTGTAACGTCCTTGAGATGCTCCCTTACGTCGCGAAGGACGCTGTCTTGAAAAAAGAGGATTCGCGCTTGAGGTAGTTCCTGACGGATTTCGTGCAACTCAACAGAATTAATGTCCACGAAAATGGTTTCGGTTTCCTCCACCCTCGACTGCATTAAGTGCTTAAAGGACTGCAACACGGAGGCAAAGGTGCCACAAATACCCTGATCCAGCACAAATGAGAACATCACAGTCCTGCTAACAAGTTGACGGTCTATGATGGAGAAATGGTAGACCGAAAAGGCAGCCTCCGTGAGTTCACGTATCTGGACCACCTCGGGATAAAAGTGGAAGTTTTTCACTAGAAATGGAGAAGTAAAGGATATCACACGGTCTACACCATCCTCATCAGTCAGGATTTCTGCATAGCCCTCACTACCCAAGGACTTTAGCGTCAAACCAAGGAGGCGTCGAGCACTTCTTTTGGGCTGTAGCTTTTGTTTCAATTTTCGAACATCTGCCGCTGTTAGATAAACATGAAATGCACCTGAGGAAGGTCAAGAAACATATGCAAACTATTACTTTGGATATATTCCTTTAGAGCGAATTCATGCTGATGTTCCCTTAGCAACTCCTTAATTATGGATAGCTGCCGTGGGCTAAGACGGCGATTCCGGCGATAGACATAGCCGCAACAGCCAGAAACGGGATGGTTGTGGCGCATGTCAAAACGGGAAATGTGCAGTTGATTGTTACGGCAAGTAACAAACAAGACTGACTTGCAACCAGTTTTGGACGATCTAGTGATGTAATTTGGGAATTAGAATCAATCTTAAGAAATTTGAAATACCTTCGGTCGGATTTAGCAACGTCCCGGTCCTTGCAATAGCCATAGTGAAGGCATTCGTAGGCAAATTTCTTGTAGACCACGTCCTGATGTTCTAGGTCATCCTTGGGCCATGGACATGTATGTCGTTTGGCGTACATGCATCCAGTTTTCTGAAGAGAAGAGATAAAGGGACACTGTGACAGCTCTTACAATCTGAAATTCCTCCATTTTATCTTCAAGTTCACTGAGTGAAGAAAACACCAAAGATGGGAAGATTTGCAGAAATTGCGATGAATAATCAGTTATGACGATATATGCTAAAAATAAGCCAATGTAAGGACACATACGTTCAGGCATTGACCTATCGAGTGTTCTTTTTACAGTTGCGTGATTGTGTACCATGTGAAATTTCGAAACATATAAAAAACCATTACGACAGCCCACAGTGAAGGAGGCTTCGCAACCAGTCCCGGTTCTGAAAATGGATAAAGTCTATTCTCGCTACCTCGGCTTACTCTCCGAACAAACATAATGAAGAGATTTATAAATTAAAGTGGCACGGTGTGGATGTCCCGCTGGGTAAAGGAATGTACGCTTGAAAATAAAACGCAATCCAGTCAACTAAAAATGGGATTGATTGTAATAAAAATATGTCGAACTGCACCTCCTGGAATTCGTTGGTGGCCTTTTCAAAATCTGCGTAGTTCGAAAAGCCTCTACCTGAAAATATCTCAGTAAATGTATCTGAATAATCCATTAATAATTGTGGAAGGCATGCGCACTAAATCAGACAGTTTGACATAAAACCATGCAATCAAAAGTAGAGATTGGGGTCAAACAGAATAAAAGAAATTGTAATCTGTAATGGGCAACAAAGGCCAAATTATGCAAAACCCAGCTAGTATAATTAAAAAAATTGATTTGCAGTTAAAATGCTTATTGAAAAAAATTACGCCTTGTAAAATGCAAAAAGCAAAAAAATTAGAATTTACTTTACTAGAAAGCAAAAAGCATTAAAAAAAGTCAGAATAACTTTTTGGTGTAGAATTTAAAAAATTTATTCAGGAATATTTACCTTCCGAAACTGGCCGTCATACACCTCAGACATGTTTGTGTGAGCAGTTATATGGCCGAAAAATTGTCGAATCGCTTCTGCTACGCTAACATCTTAAATACGTCAAGCATGTGGAAAGCACAAGGCTATTTTAACGATCCTTAAATTTAATTCAGAATGGTTTGCAGTTAAGTGTTTAATCCAATAATCTGGTGCACATATCATGGCAAAATAAGACCAAATAAGGGAAAAGTAGGCACGACACCTAGATGAATGCTCTTGGCTGCGTAGAGTAGGGCTGAAAGGCTACTAGCATTAAGCAGAATCTTTCCGCATATTAACATTGAATTTGCAGGGCTAGACTCGCAGGTCCCCTCTTAGAACAACTTGACTGATTTAATTCTACAAATTTTTTAGAGAGGTGGGTCGGGAAAAAGCAATCCCTCTCAGGCTTGGGAGACGCCGACTGCATCACCATATTTGAATTGTAACCTTGCCTCCTCTCCGGAAGGTACATTAGAGCAATACCAGCATTGCATAATAGTCGTGCCCTTCGTCGCCTGTGTAACTGAAAAGAATTCCTATTCTAACTAATAATCCTTCAAACGCAGCTGCAAATCTTTAGCTGGCTAGCTTTCTCTGAGAGAACATACTTGGATGCACATTTGGATGTGTATATCATATTGACCTTTTTAATTTGCTATAGCTGTAATACGATAGTGGTTTATCCCTCGGTTCTGGTGAGGCGCCACTTTTGTACTTCGAATTAGCCCCCTTGTACCTCGCTGGGTGGGCTGGCCTTTTGGGCCATGCCAATAGCCCGGACACCTTCTCCGTGCTGAATATATATTCTGCTCGAGTATTTTGTCTTCCTTCGTCTTCAGGGAGTCTCGGGACGCTACAATAGCAATATTTCTAAAATCATTTTGAACTCCTTCTGGTCTGCAATACTTTATTTATAAGCAATTACATTTTATTTTTACCTAATTTTTTTTGCTTGAAAGATGCAACATTTTGTTGTCATTAAAGCAATTTCTTAATAGCTAGGTCTAAATCAAGCTAACAGGTACATTTTCAAGTTTATGCACTAGGCTTGTTTGCAAATAGAACTTTTGTGTGACCTAGAGTTGGAAGTTTACCCAATCAAGCCTTATTTTGTTTAGCCTGTAAGCCGAGTATTTTACGTTTGTGCATTTATGCTCTGCAGTCTTTTTCGATAGTGGTGGTGGATAGCGATATTTTTCCTAAATGACATAAATTTCTGTTGTATAATCTACTTGTTACTAAACTCAATTTAAGCTTGTTGTGGCTCACTTATTTGATTTATCATTTGGTAGGGTATTCAATTCCCGTACTTCCTTTCGTGCATACGTAAACAGTTGTTTGCTGAACGTAATTTGATTTTATGTTTTTTAATGCAGGATATCTATAGCTGGTGGTTGGGTGCAGGGACAAACTCCTGGATTCTTCAAAATTATGCTCCTTTTTTCCAGCTCAATATTCCTCCCGTTTTAACTTTGCCACCATTTCCTTGTAGCTAATGCACTTTTTTGTTTGGATAACTTGGTATTATTATCTTGAGTTTTTCGGTGCTTAGGTAGGAGCCGGAAACGCTCTTTGAGCGAAATTTTAGGGTGTTTTCATTACTTGTACATGAGCGATTTGTGGACTTAGGTTTCGCAAAGATTTATATACAACCGAGAGATCGTAACATCCGCGACTGTTCTTTCCTTCGGATATTCAGGAAAAAAATGCTTCCGATGCATGGGGATGAGTCTCCACCTACTACTCTCCAAAGGATTAATTCGAGGTCAAGTATGGGGCCTTCCGAACTATTCTCAGCCTTATCTGCATCGGTAGGGTTTTTTTTTACTTTGGAAGTTTCAATCAGGTCTGGTCGGAAAGCAAAAAACGAGCTGAATCAGCCTACCAGAACTACGGCAAAATCGACTCCTTCCGTCCCTACTTTGACGTTGAGCCAAAGGAAGTTTTAGGTCGAATCTTGAAATCTATCGATCCTCGTCCGCCTTCCTCTCTCAATTCTGGTCATGACCTCTATGGACCCTTTATGGCCTGTCTTACATTGATTGCAGTTCTGCTCTTCGAAATGAAACTCTCCGACCACAAGGTGGTAAGGAAGCGATCTTTCTTCTCACATTTTTAGCAAGAAGGCACCCTAATGGGGTCCGCATTCTTGACCTGTTTTGGTTACTGGTTGGCTTCCTCCGGCATCCTACTTGCCATCTGCTACTTTGGCAAATCGTCGATTGCCTTCACGCAAATCCTCTCTTTCGTGGTGCGTTCATCCTTAAAGCTTCAAATGCATTTTCGCGCTGACCTTTCAAAACAGAAAGACACTATTTGATGCTGACAAGCTGGTCTTTGTTGAATCCCGCAAAACTTTCTCCCGTTTACTTGCTTTTTCAGGGCTATGCGTTGTGTTCTACTTGCGTTGTTCTCTTTGTTTGTGCGGCCAAGCATAATGAAGCATCCGAAACGTTGTTTTTCGTGCTTTGGGCACTTGTGTGTGGCGCTGCTGGAGCAAAAATGGCAAGCAGCAATTTTAGCTTTTCCTCCATTTCACTAAATTCGCTAAAGTATAAAACCTGCGCCTTACTGACTGATTATAGGCACTGATAATGTGGGTGAACATCCCGGAAAGGGGCTGCCGCATTACTGGTGCTGTGGCCGCGTTCGCATTGCACATGCTACTCGTTCCCTACCTCCACTTCGCCTATCATGGAATCGTTCAAGGTAAGGTTCAACTTAATTTGTTCTAACTCATTTTTCCGCCGCTAGATATTTCAAATGTCATCGGTAATGAAGGTAGTAAACCAGATCACAGGCAAGATCTCTTCGTATATTGCTATTTGCTACTAATAACACCCGAAACTTTCTAGATGTCATCGTGCCGAAGGCAAAACCTTAAGAAGGAATAGTAGTCGTTTGAGTACATCGGCCCACTTACTATGCTCTTTACCTTGTTCTGTGAGAAATAATACAAATCATTGCTTGCTTAAAACTGTCTTCTTGAAGCATTCCTTCTCCTGTTTATCTACACCAAAGTATGAAAAAGCACGTTAGAAAACAATGTAAATCTAGTCATTAATTTATTTAATATGAATAGGAGCGAAGGAGGATTTGCCGTTGTAAATGCTGTCTATGATACCTTCACCATATTTTCGGACCTAAACAGACGCGTGTGTGGTAAAAATGTAGCTACCTCTGACATGACTTTGCTGGGATATCCTGCACCGTAGAGTTCGTGGTTTACAAAACAGTTTGAGAGACATTCCAGGCGTTCGGGTCCGAGGACATCGAGGTTCTTGGCTAAAAATGCTTTCCTTAGTCTCCATTCCGTGGGGTTTTCGTGGGGCCGCCGCATACCATCGACTCTAGCCGTCCTGTCTGTCATCGTGCAGACGGTCTATTGGCTAGCACGAAATGGGCGCGTCAATGTTCAGGGCGTATGAACGTGAAGATTTGCGGGGTGGAAACATTTTTCTTTTAAGATGTATTGTTTTTAGTGATTTTTATATACTTTTAATTTTAAAACTAAAAATTAAGCTCAATTTTTCATTTGCCAATATTTTACACAAATATCATTGCAGAGGAAATAAGATTTTATGCCCTAGTGTTTAGAAAGGAATTTTACTTATTAAAATAGGAACAAATGCAGGTGAAACCAAAATTCATCGGACTGTGTATCCTCTGATATCTTCCTCGAGAACTTGTACAACCTCCCCGTGCAATTGCAAAAAGTTTTTTTCGGTAGGTAGCCTCCGAGCCTGACTGATTCTAAACCAGTGTTTCAAATTGCCTATAGCTTTCCTGTTCTTCAAAAATTGCAAGACATTTGCTTACATTTCCTACAAGTTATAAAGCATTCGCCTGATCACTCGCTACTAAGAAAAATTTTGCTCTTGGTACTACTAGGAACCTCCTATCCTGCTAAACTAAGTAGGGCTAGGCTAGCACCTCGACCCAATACACATGACAGTCTGGAACGAAAATGAGGCAATCTCGCCCAGGCAGGGCATCGGAGATCCCTTTTTCAAGCAGGAGGCAATTTTAGGGTTTCGCATATATCCGCGTCCCTGGAGTTAGTCACCCTATCTTGATGCGCATCCGGCTGATGCACCGCCTCGGGTCTGCCAAGACAGCCATTCCATGCGCGTGAGCGCAGGCGTACCACGGCGGCAGTAGCGCGCCCGCAGCCAATCACCATGCAGACCTGCGCGCACGTCGCTAACGGCCGATCAACGATCAATACATCCTCCGCCTCCCATCGCCGAGATTTAGCGCCACCGCTGCTCGCTTCCACTTATGCATCGCGCCCCTCCCCTTGAATCATGCTGCAAACACCAGAACGCCGATTCCGCTGCTTTAATGACATTGTGTCCAATGCGTGGTCATCTTCAATAAGTGCATGAAATGGGTAGAAAGAAACTGCGACGCCCCGAGGATTTGGAAGACCCATGCCCGAAATCCAGGGTGATCCATGAGGATGATCGGCCGCGGTCATGATTAGAGTGGACCCATCCCGCTAACCATGGATACCGCCGTAGACTGCATTCTAGGCACCTAAGGAACACGACCGTTGAGCCACTTCTGAGAACACGACGTGCGCCCGCAGCAGTTCTTAAAGACGCCGATGAGGACGCAGACCGCGTAGGCATCCCGAAGTTGTGAAGAAGTATATTTCTCGTAAATTTAAAAGCCCTATGACACTGACGTTAGCACAGGCAGCAGCAGAGACCAGCAAAAAGCCACTAGAATCACCACACACAAGTGGTAGGGATCCCACCCAAAACGAGGTTGCAACCAATGAGACAGCGAAGAAAACACTGGCGAGAGCATGAAGTGTTACCAATCTTACCGCTTTAGCTTTCACGTATTTGAAACCCAGTTGCAGTATCATAAAGGTAAACGCGATGCATCATAAAACTCTTAATTAGCAGCAACTTTATTTTTAACCCCTAAAACGAATGATCATCGAGTGTCAATAAACTAACTGTACATTGATGTATCGAAATAATTCACACCGACCGATGAGGGAGTCAAAGAATTCAGAAGCTGCTTAACTCTGTTCACCAAAACGCTTCACGCTAAAAACAAAAGAGAGCGAATGTTGGGGCATCAATCGACTGCACACCCGAAAAACCGACACACAACTTCGTACCAAAAGCTTACCATAGCTGTAAGTAAAACTGAGCACTCTGAATTTGTTCGGGGGTGCCCGTTATGGTGATGATTCTGTCTTCCACGCCAGGATCTTGGGAGCTGATTTTGATATCAGCACCAGATTCTTTTCGAACCTGATTGATTCGTGTACCGCCCCGACCCATGATGGCACCGATCATCTATGATCACCAAGATACAGGAATGGGATTCGGTATCGGTGACGAGAAATTAAAATTAATTCGAAGGACAAAACTAACCTTGTTGCTGACGGAAACCTGGGTAGTGGTTGTAGGCGCGATGATGTTCATGCTGACAGTTCCAGGAATCCTAGGGGAGTGAACCCACCGAGCATAAACAGGAACCAACAAAGAAATCAAAAGAATGGGGAGCATGCACAGGCGAAAAAAGGGTTCCAATGAAAGCAAAAAGTAAATCACGATAACCCACCCGCGCATCATCCCGGCAGCCATCATTGCAGCCGCAGTGGCTGCATCACCTGCAGGGCCTGATGTAGGCCCCCCAGGATGGTTCTGACCGCCGGTAGCGGCCAACATCGCCGCGGCAGATGCAGGCGGAATGCCTGAAGCGAGAGCCTGACTCACAACCGCCGCCTGCGTAACGCTGCGCGGGGTCGCTCCACCTCCACTGAACAAACTAGCAGCCAACATCGAGCTCTGGAAATGAGAGAAAGCAGATGGTGTCACTTATAAAGAAGACCAAACAGAAGGGGGAGAAAAATCCGAGAATTGCACCTGCGGATAGCTGTTATTAGCAAAATTACTACGACGTGCACCATAGCTGCTTCCGGACGAGGGAATACCCATACCACACCAGCCACCGTATTGCATCGCCATCGCCTCGTTGAAGCTACGAGCATCGTAATTTTGTCGAGGTCCCTTGGCTGGAGCTCCCTCCAGCAGCTCGCAGATAGCTTGGAGGCAGCTGATGACGTGAGCCACGGTGCCAACCAGTTGAACGATGCGGTCAGTTGAATCGGGACACAACATTTGATACACTTTGAGAGTTTTTAAAATAGATTGCTATAAAGGACCTGGTGAACACAAAGACAACCTTACTTCTCGCAGCTCTTTAATTTTCTGCCCGCTTTTACCGATAATGCATCCGGCCTGACTTTGGTGCACGAGGAGGCGCAAATCAACACAGTCCTCCTGAAGCGACATGGCTTGCTAGAAAAGTTTTGATAAGAAACTTGCACATTACCCTTTTGAGCGTGCTGTGCATGATCTCAATGACAGAGTTTACGTCGCCGTCTAGAATAAGGATCCTAAAAAGCGGGTAATGAAAGTAGACATTCAAGGATTGCACGGTAAGAAGGAAATAAGGGAAAAGAAGGGGCCAAAAACTATACCTTTCGGGTCCGTTGCTATCGGGGATATTAATGGTGACAGAGTACTGTAGAGTACGCACCAACATGTAAACAAATCAGCCCATCGCAATTTTCAATGCGAGTGAAAAGGTGCGGGCAGGGATAGACGGTATGGGACGGGTGACAGGGATTGTACCATTGGGAACGGGCATAGGTTCAGGGTCGGGGACAATGGGAGATAATATGAAATAAAAGAAATAGCCGCTAGGTTAGTTAGGGGACTAGTTGCGGTGGCGGACAACAGGTCGAATTGTATACTGCCTCACCTCATCACGCAATTTCTTGATGTTCTCGCCACGCTTGCCGATGATGAGACCCGCAGTCTAGACATGGAAATGAAATAGCAAAAAAAGCATACCTTTGTGGAGATCAGAAATCGTAACTCCACATTGGGTCCCTCTCGCATAATTTTGGCTGGGGGCTCGTCCACTGTGGAAACATCGTTTAAGTAAATTAAATTATTACATTCGGACGGAGGTTCAGTCAGGAAATCAAGCTAAATAACCTGTCAAAACCAACAAGAAAGTCTCACCATATTAGGGCGGAGCACGACTTAAAACAACAGCAGAAGCAACCATTAGTGTTCAAATCAGTTCGGTGCAGGGGTGTAGCTAACAGCAGCATAAATGGCACAGCATTTAATATTTTTGATTACCATAATAAGAAAAAGTTGCCTGATAAGATACATATTGTATAGCTATATTGAGCATTTTGGCAGCGATGAAAAAAGCCATAGTTTGGTTAAACTTGGGACTCTCGCTCTCTAATTTTTTTACGCAAACCCTTTAGGTCCCTTTAGTTCTTCTAAAAAAATTTGCTTTAGACCCGGTTGTGCTAAAATCTGCATTATATGCTTCAGATTTTTACTACGCTGCTTGTTTTCTTTGGCGTTAGTACTGCAGCGCCTTGTTATGCTTTAAAAAGTGCAGAAATTTTTTTAAATGTCTGCAAACAATTTTGTGATACACTCGCAGTCTTCCTTGTTAAAGGCCTTCTCATACGCCTGCGTTTTGTGCAATTCTTGCAAAATATGTGTTAATTACGTTGCGTTTACTTACAAAGACAGCATGTTGGCAAGAAGTGGGCATCTGGTTTAGTTTGTTTAAGTTTGTAACTTAATTATCCTGCCTTAGAATTTCAGGGTTAACGCACTTTTAATTTGCTCCAGATGCTGCACATTTAGTCGTACAATTTGCGTTCACTCACTTATTAAAATGGACGAATTTAATCGTCTATACATTCTTGGAGAAAAAATTGGAGAGTAGGGTTGTTGGTTGTGTACAGATATCAATTTTAGCGGTAACTTTGCGGAAGTTAAAATTTGTGAATGCAGGAAAACTGGACAAAAATTCGCAGCAAAAATAGTAAAAATGAGGCAGAAAACTGTTTTTGGCTATTATGACCCAAATTCTCGTGGAATGACTCCTCAAGAAGTTGAACGTGAAGTCCAAGTCCTACGATCAATCGACCACCATGCAATTGTTAAGCTTCACCAGATATACGAACATGAGGATTACTCAATCATTCTTCTAGAATTGTAAGCTTCAAGTGTGTATTTTTTGCACGAATTAGTCTGTCCTTTTTTATCGGCGTAGGATTCGGTGTCACTAATTCCTTAAGAAGTGCATTATTTTATTGCATGTCATGTGATAATGGCTACAACATCAGTCTTAGCGTTGTATTTTTAAGATCTTTTTACTGCTCTGTCAAATGCACAATAACGTTTTAATCGCGGTTTTAACTCTAGGGTAAATGGTGGTGAGCTTTTTGCACGAGTTGCAGAACTTGAACGACTGGATGAGCAGGAGGCTGTTTTTTTCATCGCTCAGATTCTCCTTGGTGTCAACCATATGCATCAACTTGGGATCGTCCATTTAGACCTAAAGGTAGGTATTTCTAGATGTCTTTACTGTGTAAGACAAATAGTTCGATAAAATTTTGAGGAAATAATTTGTCTACGTCGTCTCTTTCCCGAAATTTTTTCTTACTTCTCCTGTCCAAAGCCCCAATAATTCTTGGTTTTTCCCTCAAAGTAATTCGCTCAAACAAATTTGAAACGGCAATCTTTGACTCTTGTTTCCAGAAGACATTTTAATCAAATGAAGTCTTTAGCCAAATCTGCGCCTAAAAGTTTGTTTCAGTAGAATTAATTTGGCGCAGTCCTAACGCACACCCATTCTTCTCACGCCAGTCCATCTGGAATAATTTAATCACTCAAGCCCCCATCAATGCTGTCGATTTGACCTAATCGAATTCTGTTTAAAAATGGAACTCCTATAACCTCTACCGTTAGGCATCTTTACTGTTAAGTTGCTTGATTTGCGTCCCTATCGGCCGTTCGAAGTAACGACCGCTTATGCTTACCGCCCGGTCGGTTAGGGAAAAAGGTGCCCAAATGATGTCCCTACTGCCTCACGGCCTAAGTGCTTAGAAAGAATGTAACATTTTCTGATTTTGTGATTCTGTACTTCGTCCAATGCAATTGCATGGTGTGTGTAATTCAAAAATATGGCAGACAAGTGTACAGATGATCTATTTACCATAAATTCTGGTTGCTTACGCCAATTAGGCATCATTTTTCGCCTACCTTTGCAAAAGCTAGTCGCGACTATTGACGACTAGGAAATCAGGAGGTTGGAATGTGAAATCTCGAGCATTGTTTCTTTTTGCCCACCAAAATGTGGGAAAGAGTTAGTGGTTAGGGTGAATCATACTTGGTGTATAGTTTCATTAGCCGCAAGGACATTTATTACTCCTTCAGAACAATTAACCTCTAAGAATGTCGCAAAGTGCACGAGGCACAATCTAAAGGGTTTTTGAGGTCACACATCGTTGATTTCGCTTTGTGAAGAAAAAAATTAAGGTAATAAATCGTTAAGTGCGCGAACACCCCAATAGCATGACATTAACTTGTCACTCCCTAAGGCTGGCCATGGGACACTTTTGCCGAGTGGTGGATGCGATACTACACAATTAATGTACTCTACTGATGAAGGCTTGCCTGTGTACTTTTTCGTTCTTCCTCTTTCAGATTTCGAGAATTTGTTTTAAATCCTTTTAGTGGCTAGTTGGGAAGAAATAGACCGAAAAATTTGCATCAAAAGAAAGAAGTCTAGGCCATTTAATTGACTAACGCATTTTTATGCAACTCCCTTTGCTTTGCTATATGACGCAGCCTTATGAAGCGTACAGTTCAGAAGATGGTAAATAACATCTGTCACATATACGTGCCGCGAATACCATAGGGTTAAAGTCGCTTATGCGACAATGCTCTTATAACCACTGGTAATGAATTTTTTTAAAGCTTAGAGAGAGGCATAAGATGGTGTCACCAACTGAGTAATTGGAATGATTAATTAGCTCTTCAAGTACTTTGTACTTAAAAAAAGGCAAAAACTGTCAGAAAAAGGAAAAAGGAAAATATTTGAGCGTGAAAGAAAGGTAGGTAGGTTACATTTTTGCCGAATTGCCTTATTCTTGTATGCTTCAAATGGCACGGAATTGCACCAAGAACATGGGTGATTCATCGACAAGCGTCAAAATCCAGCCTGTGCCATGTGTGCACACCCGGACTGCCACCCTGGGTCGATCATCACCCAAGTTTGTTCTGACACGACTTTATAAAGTATTACATTCCATGCATCTTTTTTACCTCCATTATTTCCACAAACACCATCCACATATTATCCCTTTCCTAGACGGCTTTTTCAAATGATTCATTTCCCGCAGGGGCTTCATCACTCGGACATATTGGCTTAACTTTCAGCTTGCCTTAAATGATTTGAGTAGTATCTTCCCCTCATGATTTATTTGTGCACTGTTTTGTTTTTGTCAAACAATTCAGCCGGAGAACATAATGATAGAGGATATGGAGACAAAACGGATAAAAATAATTGACTTTGGCCTTGCCCGACGGTTAAATCCAAATGAGGTTATTCAAGACATGGCTGGTACACCCGAATTTTGCGGTAAGTTGCGCGGTACTTTTAGACCCTTTATTCTGCCTCGTCTCTTCTTTTTCTCACCCCCTCCAATAAAAAATCTTAGCTTAAATAAGAAACAAAAATAAAGGGTGAAACAGTCGAGCAAAACAGAAAAAAAACATTTGTAGAAGTGTTAATGCAGTTCCATCCAAATTCCTGTTAGGCGAACCTCTTTGAAATTCTGCAACCTACTGCAGGAAAGGGGGTCAAAAAAAGTAAAGTCCTGAAGGTCATAAGTACTGCATTATTTTTTATGGTGTTTTTAGCACTTTTTGCACTTTAATTGCACATACTTGGTAATAAGACACACCAACAGCTGATTCGGCATTTTTGACATGACAGATGATAGCCCTAAAAATGTCACTTTTGCGCAAATCCCACGTATAAACATTGACCTCTTCTGGTTCTACTTAGCTCCCATAGCGCCGCTGAATTTAACGTAACAAAGACTACTACTTCGGCAACGTCGATGCTACTTAAATAGCGGGTGACAGTTGACAGTAGTGTGGGAGAGAAATGTATTAACTATGATTAATGTTGATCTTGTAACTTGTGATCTGACAATTAATTCATGAGAGAGTAATTTGGTATGGAATGAAATGAACGGGATACCATTGTGATGTGCTAGTCAGTGGCCTTCATTTCGTCTTGCCTCCACCTCCTTTTCTGTAACTTTAATGGAGGAGGAAGAGTTGAGATGACAAGCGCCTGGTGGCACTTATTTTACACAAATTGTGAATATAGAAGGTGGCATACAACTCCTCGATGCTGGTAGACCACGCGTGTCCGTATTAGCACCAACCCTGCCAAGGTCAAATTTGTCCCCAATTGGTCTCCTTCTGTCGCAGTCGTTGCAAGACAGTAAAACAGAGACAACGCCTAGAGAGATGATTAATTTCACTTTTTTAAGGGTTTGTAACTTGTCCAAGTGAATGCAATTTACAGGGACCATCACAATGCGGTGATGTGATCAAAAAGTAACGATACCGGGGTGGAAATATAGTCTACTCTCCTCTTGCCTAAAAGAATCATCTAATGGGCAAAGGTTAAGGTTCTGCATTGTTTCTTTTTCCCCTCATCGAGATGGGAAGGACACTTGTTTCCAAAAGGAGGGGTGTATCCCGCAGCTTTTGGTTAGGTCATTCAGCCACCTTGGCAGGTCCCATGCTCCACATTAAGTACATTTCACGTTCCAATCGCTAATTGCGGGATCATTTGCCTAACAAGGTCTAATCGTCCCTCTTGGTGCGTGGGATAGGTACACTCTTATCTGATCTCTTCTTTGCCATGACCGTGGGAGCCAATTTTGGACAGGCCTTCCCATTGGCTCCTGGCCGATTCAGACATCTTCACATCCTGTCCCAACGACGACATCGGGGTCATTGATCATCCCCGTCGTGTTGGTAGGCTAAAGACATGTTCACGGGGCGTCAGTGTCAGTGCTTGATGAATGTAGACCTCTAAGCCCTGTCATATGATTTATTTCATTTAGCGTAAATAGCAGGAAATTTGAAAAATGTACCTTTTCAAAAATGTATCCCTCAAAGGAAGAGGATTTGGTTGCCTTTCTGGAAAGCCCGGAAAATCTCATGCACCGAGGTGATGTCACTTGTCAAATTTCCCTGAAATATGGCACCAAAAAACATATTCTGGCGAATCTTTAACTAATTTTGAGGTTGTTACTAAACGAATCGCACGTACAAAGACATCGATGATAAATTGTAAGCATACCTTTTGTTTCGGTGGCTGCACCCAAAAGATGTACGAGGTGGACATTGTGTATACAATAATGCATCCGCAGGCAAAACTGATCACGTACTGGCGAGGAAAATTTCTTGCCAATCAAATTGTACTACCGTTTAGGAATTCAGATATGAGTTTTGCCTTCTGGAAGAAGCTACTTTCCGCAACAGGGAAGCTGGCAGCATTTAGTCACTACGTAGCGGTGTAACAGTTCGGACGGAAGTTCACCCTGCGTTAAGGGAAAGATTAGTAAAGTGTCAAGATGAGTGACAGGGTCGCCACATGGGAAAACATGACTTCATGTTTTGAAAATCTTTCCAAATTAACCTCAAAAAATAGTGGATTTTGTGTAATGAGTGTCAGTACTCAGTAAATTTTGGAGTAGATATTCTACAAATACATAAAACCTGTCCAGACTCATCAGAATCTTAAAAAAATGTTTTTAAGTAATCAGTTCTGGCCTGAGTCCCGTCTGATTGGCTTATTTAATCATCGAGCCTCAAAATTCAATATATTTCAATCACTAAGATGACGTAATCGAGTCTTGCAGCTTTTTGCCGCTTAAATAGTATTCACCTATTTACGAAAATTTTTGCCAAAGAAGGCTTCAGTTTAATCTTAAAAAATACAGTTAAATATATGTTTTTATCAGGTTTCAGATGATAGAATTGACGTGTGGTATACAGGTGGGGAATTGAAAGTTGGGACAGAATCGAAAGTAGGTAGAGCCGGATTTTTTCTTCTAAAGACAGTTTTTTGCTAATCTGATTGTTTAATGCCATTAAATACAATGCGAAAAAAGATTAGGGAAAATTGCACGTCATTTTGAATTAACAATCTAGATGCAGTGATTGTAGGCAATAAACTAACCTTTAATCATTCTGCCAAAAGAAAGGGGATCTACAGATCATTTGAATAGGGCATAATTACTTTTTCATTTAAGTATTTCTATTCCTTCAAGCAAGGTTAACAAAAGATATAGAGTAGTATTTCTTCCACAAAGCCCTTACTAATGGACGCTTTGTCTAAAGGGAACTTTTTGTTCTACATTTCCTCTATCATTCGGTATCTGGTTGGAGGGTAAGTAAAAAAGGCGCCCCTTAACTGCCCCAGCATACACTTTGGGCTTTTTGTTTCTTTTATGTTGGTATTTGTGATTATCCAACTTGAGATTAGCGGCAAGTTATTATCAGAATACTCGTCCCTGTTTTTTGATTTTAGCCCCAGAAATAGTTAATTTCGATCCCATCACCTTCGCTACTGACATGTGGGCGATTGGCGTGATGACGTACATTTTGTAAGTCCAATTATTTGCTGGAACTGGGTGATATACCCAACCTGCCTCCATTTTGCCTCCTGTCGGCCATCGTAGGATTGGCGTAGGCGAGTGAATTGGCTCCTGTTCGGCAAATTTTTGTGCATAAAAGTCGCTCGGAATTTATTGTTAACGCACCGGCGGAGACCTGGGAAATTACTAGGCTTAAAATGGTGGCCGCAATAAAGTACGTAGGAATCGAAGAGCCCGTCGACTAGGTCAAACAAAAGACAGAGTGAAAAGTCAATTTGTGATGACAGCAATCAGCAGCATCCACAACTTGCGTCACACATATGTGACACAATTGACAACACTAACTGCGCGATTAGATTAGAATTTCTTTTCCTTCTACAGCCTCCAGCTACCTGTTGAAGACCTTTTTAAGTGTAGTGCGTAGGCCTGAGCCGCCAGAAGGGGCCAAATGGCCCACACATATAAGGGGGTGATTTAAACAAACACCAATCGCTCACTCGCACACTGTTCGTGAAACATTCGCTGCTGATGTTGAATTTACTTTCACAGTTTCCTCCTCATAAGTGATTTAGAAGAGAGGAATCTTTTTCCTGTAGAAGAATGCAAATTGCTAACAAATAATAAAAAATTTTCGTACAGAAAAATAAACAAATTTCTAAAAACATCTCTCCCCTTTTGATTGGCCATAACTCACGGATCACATGTGAAGGTGGAAAATGAATGTTCTTTCATTGTTCACCATCTTTTCTCATGGTGGATGAATTTGTACTTTTTTCCCTGAAAGAATACAAAAACTACTTAAGTGGTCAGTACTTTTATAAAAAAAGCACCTTTTCGCCTGTTGTTTTTCACACATCGGCTAGCGCGCTGTTTTCGGTCTAATCTATCACATCACTGTCCAAAGTGCCTCTTAGAAGGGTTTGACATGGGAACGAGTTTATTTGATCAGCATCTTTGCTCTAACGACAGCGGCCATGTCTGTGGGGGTAGAACCTGACAGATTGTCAGGGCGACAGGGGTGCTTCCTTACCCTTGGCATAAAAATATTGTTTGCTGAAACGTCGATTAGGGTGTGAAGAACCGTGGCAATCTGTTTACCGATTGAGCGTCTGATTGGCTACCCGGATCCAGCTTGTTGAACCAGTGAAAGCCAAGTAGGCTGAAGCTGGTTTTTCTAATGGAGGACATTCCGGTAAATGATGTACGTGTCGCGGAAGGATATGCGGGACTCTAGATATCCAGAGAGCTCTATTTAGTCACCATCTGCTCCAGTGGTACTTCGAGCGTTCTGATGGACAGCGAATTAGCCAAACCGACGCCGATATACAAGACAGCGCCTGGCTGCAGTCGCGCTGGGTAGACGTTAAGGTGGAAGAGGGTGAAGTTGCGTTGACCTGGTAAACATTCAAGTTGCAAGTTTTCTTTGACCTCGTTCAACACCGTTTTCCCCGTTTTTTGGTGCCTGCGTTGGAGCTGAGTGGGCTGGATTAACGGTAACCATCCTTTTGACAAACAGCTTCGCCCCGTGGACAGAGAATGATGTCTATCATTGTCGTTATGGCACGTAGTCTGGTATTTTGCCAGACTACACTGCCAGTAGGAAGAAGAGAGCATTTCTGTGTCCTTAAAATCAAAATGGGCTGGGTTTCCGCCGGGGCGGACTGATTGGATTGAAGTATAACAGGCAAGGCGAGGATGTCTAAGATGAGGGGAAGAATGAGAATCGTAAAACCAAACTTCATTCCCTTTTCTTATGTTTGTAGGCTCAGCGGTATCTCCCCTTTCGCTGGTGACACCCAAGTAGAAACATTCCAGAATATTCTCGAATGTTCCGTCACTTTTGATCGCGACGAATTTCTTGATGTCTCTCCTGAAGCGCGTGATTTCATTACACGGCTTTTACGAAAGAATCCACGGTGAGTGGGACTGAGAAAGAAGGCAAAAGAGTAAAAGAAAAATACTGATTTTTTAATTTTATTTGCACTCCATTCCTTTTTTTCTGGATGGGGGTGGGGGGGAGGCTGAGAGCTGTATGGGGCAGAGGCGACTGTAAGTATTCCAATTTTATTCCAGTCGCCTTAGCGACCGTCTACCTAACAAATTTTATAAACATCGCCTGTTTCCTTCCATTTGAAGGGTATGGGAACAGTTTAGCAGTTTGCCTTGTAGCCAGTGGGAAAAATTTTTGTAATTTATTTTGCAACTCACGGGTGTATACTGGTTGTTCTCTTTTGTAGAAAACGGGACACCGCCTCACAGTGCCTCCGTCATCCGTGGGTTGCGGTAAGATTTTGGGCTGTACTTGTCAAATTCTTAAACTATCTCCCGGCTATACGTCTCATGTTGCCATAGACGAGAGGTCAAAAAATTGGTGCCTGGAAAAGGGGTTCCCACGCTAGAGAAACATCGTTACGAGGATTTGTTGAAGCTGGAGCCACCTCTACCCAACTTCTACTGTCCTAACTGATACAATAGGGGAATGTAGCCCAGAAAAGAGCAGAAGAGGCTACTTTCTCACGTATTACGTCTCCACACAATAGTGCTTATACATAGACAGTAGTATATAGCCCCCAGGTTATTATTTCGAAGCAGACTACAAATCGCGCCAAGGTTTTTTTTTTGTCACCTGATAGACAAATTGCTATAACTGTTTTTTTTGGAGGAAGAAGGTAGAAAGAGAGGGAGCTAGAGGGTCAAAATAATTGGCCAATCAGCAAAGGCCATACGCCAAATAAATTAACCAATGGGATTGTTGCCACAAAAAAGTAGAGAATTAAAGCTTTTATAAATGATGAGGCGATTTGTAAATGATAAATGGTATGGGATTACACGATTTTGCCTATCAAGTCTGCTTTTTAAAGCAATTAGATATAAAGGGGTTCCGCAGTCTAGGACTTTTCTTCCAGCTGTTTAGAGATCCGAACGGGAAATTCCAACAAGCTACACCAAAAGCTCATGAAATGGCTAAGTTTGGGTCTATTCTTTTCGATATTTTCGCACGAAATTATTCCAAACAGCTACCTCCATTCATCATTCAGGCATTTTGCGATATCTTCCGAAAACCGAAGAGGAAGAAGAAAGGGGAGAAATCATTTTTTTGCACAAGACAATTGTTTAATGTGAGAGCCACAGTGGTGTAGACAAAAGAAGTCAAATGGTCTACACAAAAAGATATTATTTGACTCTATCATTAGGCAGATAACAATGGGTCCGGAGTGGCTTTCTCTTCACAGACCATCTTGAGAGGCTTCCAGATAAATTGATGTTCTGCAGAGATACTTGTCTAGACGTTGAAAAGCAGACTAGGTAGCTTTAAAAAACTCATTCTTCATTCATTCCTGCTTAGTTGCCTTCTTCAAGTTCTCTGTAGACTAGGGGGATCTGGGCTCAAGGAGTCATCTCTGACAGTGAGACTACACTGGGAGGGCTATAGCCTTGGAGAAAAGCTCCTGGCACAAAGGTTACAATAAAATGGAATTGGCCGCTAGTTCAAACAGTCTACTTTAAACAAATGGCCTTTCTACACATTATTAACAAAGGAGTTTCCTAACCTGAGAAGCAAAAATCGCAAGGTGCTCAAACCTCTGCTTCTAATCAGGCGTTTCGATGTCAAGGTCAGTTATACTTTGACCTTGTCATTCCTATCAAATCGTTAGGAATTTTGCAGTCTTTGGGTCAGGCTAAATCTCAACTCTGGCACCTCGGGAAGTGTCAAGTAGGCAATCCTTGCATGTGGTGTTGAAACAGGGTGACCTGATTGCGTCCTCTCATGGGGAATAGGGGAATTTGTGCCAGGGGTGATGTGTCATCTGCGGAAGGGTAATAATTATGTTTACAGAAGGTTGTCATCTCATGGTCAAGGTTGTGATATTTCTTTGCAGGCTGTCATACGACAACTGACTGGCGAACCGGAGATCATACAAAAAATCGACCTCAACGGTGTTGGGGCTTTAAAGACCTCTCCATCGTCATCGTTGAGTGGATCGAATAGAGTAAGTAAAAGAAGAATTGTAGAAAAGAAAAATTGGTAACTGGTATGATCGCTCAAACCAAACAGGGACCTCAGTGAGCACTTAAGTAAGCATAGAAGAAAAACACAATCCCTTCTCTCCATAGTTCACTACCACTGAGTTTGTGGCTGGTTACCTGGAAAGCAGTCCCTCAATTTGAAGAGTTAGCAAGACAGCTGCAGCATCTTAGGGTAGTTGGTATCACTCTTCCTCCAGTGCGCACAAACTTCCCAAGATCGTAAATGGTTGTGATTGGATGTGCAAGTGCATGCTACAGTCAGCTCTCCCACATCCAAGTTTATCACTGGCGTAATTTCAAGTGTTGGATGCCTAGTGTTGGCAGGAACGACCACCATGATCGGGAAGATGGGCAATGATCATCCACACGACTGCGGATCATCAACGATGCACAATGAAGCGTCTTTGAAGTGTTCTACAGTATGGAACCAGCTTGCAGCTGCCCAGACTCTCATCCTCTGACCATCTTACAAGCTCAAATTTCATGGATTCAGTGATTAGGAGCTTCACAGGTTGCGAAGGCGATCTGCTACATGGAAGAAAGGAAATGTCACAGTAGTTTCGTTCAATCAGTTCACCTGGCATTCAGCTGATTGGTAGGTGGAATGGAATGGACTGGAGAGATAGACGACAGGAGACGTACACCAGACAATAGATGGAGCAGCGGAGTGGAGCAGACGACCCTAAGTGCTGCTTGTAGTATTTTGTCCCCGTTTGGCTTGGACACCAGTACTAGTGTACCGGTTTCGAAGACAAAAATCTGAGCCAATCAGATAAGTGTGTGCTTAAATTTAAACAATCCTTGTCAAAGATTTTAACTTGCGTTTTTTTGCAGGTAGGGGGAAATTCGGTAAACAAGTTGACACGCAGACAGAAGTCAGCTGAGGAGGCGATCGAGGTGGACAGTGGTCAGGAGAGGTGTCGTCACTCACAAGTTATTCAAAAGATTAACCTCAATGGAATTCTGACTCCCGAAGCACATTCAACCTCCAATTCGTCTGGTGTAAGTGGGCTCCTTGATTTCGTCCTTTACCTAGACTGTTCCGTTCTTTTGAATTTTCTTTGAAAAGATGAAGCACGTAGCAGGAAGTGGAAGTTCCATTTCCTCCTTTGACAAGGCGGCCTGCTATTGCGGTGCAGTTTTTCTGGCACTTTGATCTAGGGTGTAGTGATTTGATCCCAAAAACCCTTCTGTCCTTCAGACCTTCTGTATTAATTACAAGCGGAGGGGTTACTTGATAGCCGAAAAGTGTCAGCTTCTCTAAATTGTTGATGGAGGGGGAATTTAGTCGCCTTCTCCTCGAAAATATTCGTCTCCATTGGAGGAGTCGCAACCACATGTTGGACGCGACCAAATCTCCTTAGGACTGACTGTCATGTCATGGACTGGAGATCAACAGCAAGTTAGGATAATCACTGACAGGCCTACTCCCATATGTGTAGCACTTTTCCACCATCCGACTGTCTTACTACTGACAAGCATTTAAGCGTACTATGTTGTAAATACGCTAAAGATGGACTCAGCTTCTACTTCACATCTTAGTTAACAAAAAAGTTTATTTTCAGTGGGTGCCTTATTCTGGTATTTGGACTGCCCTAGCCTGGTGCTGATATCTTCATATAAAAGCTTTTAAACCTAGGATCCCCGTTTGACATGAACGCATCCGTATCTTCAATACAGTCGGCAAACCTTTAAAAGTCGCTTCCCATTAAGCAATTTAACATTATTTTTTACATTTTTTTTCAGTCTTCACCAAAATTGAGAGAGAGCACTCGAAAATGCAGTTCCAACTCAAAGTCAGTGGAGATTGAAAAGGCGGCTCCAGAGGCGGGAGAAAGGACACCCATACGGGAACCACAGATTATACAGAAGATCAACTTGAACAGCGTCCTTCCATCGATGTCGTCCCAAAACACTTCCATCCATGTAAGTTGTAGCCATTAACCGCGTGAGTTGTTCAAGTTAAGCCGGGGAGATTTTGTAACACTCCCTACATATGTCAGTGATGCAGAGCTCATAGTCAAGTCCACCCCACTTCTTTATCCCATTTATTGTCTGGTGCGTGTCTCATGTCATGTATCAGTCCAGTTTAGCCCAGTTAACACCATCTACCATCCATCTGAGTACCAGATGAGCTGACAAGCTGATCAGTTGATTAGCGGGCTACGGTGACACCTCCTTCGTAAAGGCAACAGACTTCCTTTGTAATTTGTGAGGCTTCTTAGCATTAAAACCATGCCACTGAAGGTAGTGGATGTCTGCACGTATACAAGGTGGACTTCAAGGGGAGATTAGTGAGTTGGTGAGACAAGGAGACGATGGGAGTCTGTGCAGCAGCAAAGCGGTTAAATAATGTAGAAAGTTTCAACGATGTCGCTCTACGTGTCACTGATGATCCGCGGTAGTGGGAATGATCGTTGCTAACCCTCTGACCTCGATGGTCATTACTGCCCTTCCTCGCTTCAATCGACTCCTCCCCTTGTTATTCTTCTCTGTCGTCTTTTGGCGTGGACTCACAAATCCCAGCTTGACTTGAACGTTTTTGTGCCTCTTTTCAACCTTTAAGGATTATTTTTAGGAGAGAATTTGTCAAAAATATTTTGTTTTTATCTTTTCTATCTTGCTACTTTAGATGAATTCCGAAAGAACCAAACGAAAATCCGTCTCAACTCATTCTTCCGACACACAAACAAATCCGGAATTTGGCGGTCAAGTCAATGGGTTTTTTCGCAGTAAAAAATTGTTTATTTATTATGAGTTTTTTGTGTAAAAAGTCTGTCTTTTTGATGCTTTAAGCTCAATCACCCCGTAGGGATAATAAGTCGTGAATTACCACGCGTCACGTATGTGTGACGCGTTGACAGCAAACAATTTTTGTTTTCGTGGGTACCTTTTGAGTCATTTAGTGGTTAGTTCATTTAAGTAACTCTAAGAGGGATAAAATGGGACAGAAATTGCACTAATTTGCTCATTCTTTGTCGTTTCAAGCCTACAGGTCCTACATTGACTTGTGGAGGCAACTGGTTTGTCTATCTGCATCAGTAGCACGTCATGCCTTTGACGTCTTTGATACTTGTAAATTCTTTTCTCTTTTTAAGATCCCTTCTTTATATTGCCTGAAAATCCTCCAAAGTGCTGACGTTGGCTCATTTGTTGTGCTGTAGAGAAGAGTATCGAAAATGTCAAACCACCCAAAGAGGTTGTCCACAAACACAAGGTGGTACAAATCAACGGAAGTGCAACAAAAGAGGCCGCGCCAACACCCATCAAATCGGAGAAGAGTATAATCTCGCGATTGGCTGATCTGCAAGTGAACGGTGAGCCGAGTACTCATAAATCCAATTGTGACTCCATCTTTGGAAGAGCCTCCAAATGGCTGGAAGCCACTAACAACGCCTTGGATAAGAAATTCCGTCCAACCTCTAACGCTGCCACATCCAGTTCTTTCCATCGAGCACGCAATGCCTTTATCAGTAAGAATGCCTTAGCTGAAAGAAAGCTGGTGTTTACTCGTGTTCGTCTGGCTGGAGATATGGATCATGCGCTGCCCGGTTTCAAGTGGCGAGTACTCCCTACCACTAGCACTGCTTGTGAAGAAGGCGCTAAAGAGACTACTTAAATGCCTACTTAATGCATCCAATTTTCTTACGATTAGTTGTAAATATGCAAGCATACATAATCCCTCCCTCTCCCCTCTTTCTTCCCCTCTCCCTCTGTTCACCCCGAATGCACACTCATCTGACCGCCATATCAGCTGCCTGTGTCATTACTGTCAGCTTCACTTTTTTGTCTTAAAAAAGAAAGTAAACAACTTCTTTCATACTGTGGAGGAACCTTTAAGACAGGGAAATGAAGAGTGGATTCCTCAAGATCTATTTCCCGAGCTCCACTAGTCTCCACTACCTCCACGCCTGTCCCTCCCCGACTTTAGCTAGGTGACACTTTTGACGGTAGTCTGCTAGTCTCAACATCATGAAACGTCATGGAGGTGGACTTGTGCACCCCACTTCGAAGGTATGCCCACGTTTTTGGCGATCACGACAATGCCATGGTAGAGACGACATTGGATGGACTGCAAAAAGTACTTGAAATTTACCTGACCTGACATTAAAGACGCTGAAATTAACCCAGAGGAAATCAGCTATTAGGCAGCTACGCTTGTACAACGCAAACCGAAAGGTGAAAGTATGCGGTCGGTAGATTTGCACCAAGAGGAAGTAATTCCTGGATCCGCCAAAATCTACATGATACAGTCCTGATAGTAGAACCCGTCGGTTGCTCACCGTAAGGAGTCTCTTTTCTGTCTCCTTAATAATATTTAAATTGTTCTACTGGTGCCTTATGATAGCTGAAATAAAGGAGTGTGACCCCGAAGATGGCATGGAAGGTGACCCCCAAGGGGAGGTAGAGGAGTAAAGCTTTGTAGCAGGAAAACGTTTTTAACAATACAGACTTTTGCTTCTGACAATGGGATTTTGGCTATATTGGTTCTGTTTCAATGCCCCAGAAGTTGATTTTTCGAGCGTCAGATTTCCGCATATCTCAAAACTTGCGCTATCGTCCACGCCCATGATCGGCCACTCAAAAAGGCTAACCTCAGGTGTCCACCAATCAGACAGCCTACGCGCAGAACCACTTGGATGGCCAATAAAGACTTCCACTATTGAAGGCTTTATGTTGATTCCGGTTAAAAAATCGGGGAGGATTTTGTTGTACGTCTCTTGCTGCTTACCAGCGGAGTTCATTGGAAAAGTAACCTTTCGAAGTGCCTGTTTTCAATCTTATTTGCTACAAACTCCACATTCTTTCCCTGGAAAAAAAGATAGAATTTCCTCTCTAGAAGGCAAGAAATGATCTAGTATACCATTTCTCCTTTATATCTCAAACCAATGGTTCTGCATCCTACCCGATCATGTGGTAGTCTGCTATAAATGCCGAGACAAGGAGGCGCTGGAAGGAATATTGTAAGAGGTGAATGAGGCAATTTTCTTGTCACTAGGTATTTCATCAGTCACTAAACAGTCTAAACGACACGAATCCTTTTTTGGGAAAAATATGGAAAAGTGCTGGGAATGTCTAAAACTCCACGTACCAAACACGTTCCCATCTGGAGGATTCCCTCTCTCTTTGCGGTCAGAATCCCGATCAGGTCCCGCATGCATGACTGATATCACGTACAAATGTTCTTTAAGTGTACTAATGCCTACTACTAAGGCCAAGGTCAATCAGATAGCATAAGTAAGCAAAAATGCAACTGCTGATTGTCTCGTCCTTAGTGTCTCCTATTCAGCTAGCCGCCTAGCACGTACACGCCATCTCTATTAGGGTATTGTTCACTGAATTTCTCTGGTTTCGAGCTCGACAGAATCCATGTCTACGCCTAAAAACGCCAGTTCATAAGTCACACCTTGTCAGGATGTCATAAAATAGAAAAATGTATACCCTCCCAAGGGCCAACGACTTAATCAACTTCGTTTCACAGTCAGTTCCTTCGTAATTTCACGCAAAAAATGCTACTGATTTTATTTTAGTAGAAAATGTATTACAATCTGTTGGGCTGGTTTAAATAGAAAAGATCGAACAGGTACCGGTGAAAATATGGAGTATACACATATTTCTTGCCTTTTTTTCTTATTATACTTCGCCATGTTAAGAATGAGACACTTTGTTTGTACTTTATTAATCTTTTTCTGTTTAGATAATCAAAGTCTTCATTCTGCTCTCCGTTGCCCTTTTTGCGGTCTGCTAGGGGCTCTCCAAGGACTTGCGCACTGCACTTCGGCCAAGGTGTAGAGTGCAGGCTAAACTCAATGTCAAGATAATCACCTTTCAAACGATTAATCTGTAATCCTTTCCTGAGACGCCAAATCCTGGCTGTTACTTCCACCTGTATGAAACATATTGTCACTAGGAGGAACAAATGCTCCTGCCCTCAGGTGCCTTTCACTCTTTTTTATTTTTGCTTCCCAAATGTACATTCTCGTTTGCATTTTCTCTGCACATTCTCTTGTACCATTGTCAAGGAAAGGTGATAATCATAAAATATCGCCACGCGAAAATAGTGAGGATAGGGATGAGGCAATATCTCCCTTCCGTCCTATGTAAAGTGCATATCCCTCCAAAGGTCAGTTTTGTGGTGGTATGAGGTGTGAAGAATGAGGTCGTACCTTGTCTTGCAAGGCTACAAAAAAGAACTTTCTTTCCACAATCCCCCATGTTCACATAGCCTTAGGAGATGAGGTTTTTGCTGACACGCCCTGAAATTGTATAAAATTGTATGGAGTTAGAAGATCCCAGTTGAAGTCATTCAGTCACCTGTGAGAAATGTCAATCATGAATATATGTGAAGTTGTTTCTAATTTTTTATGGAAGTGAGTCTACCTTCTGTAAGAATTTACCAAAGTGCCATAACGTCTTTTAGGAATTTTTTACTTCTTTTTCGGAGATGTTACTAATATGTGGAAAGATTTTCAACAAAACTGCCCAATTTTCTCATTATATACACACATGTATTGAATTTGGGCTATCAAGCTGGGGTGTTGTCCACCAAACGATGGCACTAAAGATGGTGTTTAGTGGTCATGAATCACCCACAAAAAGTGTGTTTTTGCGCACTAAATGCACTACTTTTCTCCATAAAATAAACAGCAGATATATGAGTGTGTGGGTGTGCAGCTTGGAAAAGTTCTTACTTTCACTAAATTCCGGAAAGGCTAGGAGTAACGTGACAGAATGCTTTCGAAGCGTCCTAGTTACTCCCGAAAATGCAATGAAGGCGACCACGAGACCGCAGACGATGGCCACAAAGGCTACGCCGTCAAGGTGATGGCTAAAGAATTTGGACCACTGGGTACCATATTTAGGGCATGTTTGTTGTCAATGTATCCTTCTACTTGAGATTCGCATCTCCAACGAGTTCCGTAGTCACTCCCACCATATCGGCCGTCGTGGACCTTTACAGAAACTGAACGACCGGGGGGAGAGGAGCGACAAAAGATTCAGTAAAGTCATATCATGGAATTTCAAAACAACATGCCCTTGGCTAGACAGACTGCGTCGGTGGGTGACCCGTTTAAAAGAAAATTTGGTAAGAGCTAGCTAACGCTTTATAGCGAGCTGCAATTGCCTAAAGATAACGTAAGGAAGGGTTTCTCTCGTCTTTTAATTGCAACGCAAAGTTTTGCGTTGTGCCAGCATTCTGATGCAAAATTTTGATTAAACAAGACCAACAAATGCATAGTTAATAGTTTTTAGGCTTTCTAAGTGTGTAGATACGAGTTCTATTGCATCATCGTTGAAGCTATTATAAGGTTCAATTCAGTTAAGCAAAGGAAACGCAAGGTCAGGGTCGCCAAATGTTTATTTAGTAAAATATTCAGAGATAGTCAATCTAATATAACTTTGCCTAAACTCACTTGTGACATTTATAGATAGTTATGTACAAATATTACTGACTCAACTTTCCCTCCTTATCTAGTTCCCCGCTTTACTCCAAATATGTGTGTTTCGATTTAAATCTAAAGCTATTTGTGGAAAGAACTTACATCGTCATCAAAAATTTTTGACATTTTTGAGAAGGTTACACCAAATTAGATGTTACTTCTAGCTAACTCTTTATTTTCAACACAAACTATTTCGTGTTAAGTTTCATTCTGAAAGAGGACCATTAAATATCACTCAACATTAAAATTGCAGATAATACAGGCACTAAGACAGTGATAATATCATAGGGCAAAGAATTACTAAACCACCCGCAACGTTTGTCCACAGACAATTAATTTCCACTACACATCTTGACCTTTACCTTTGGCGCGTTATCCCTGTGAATTCGACCACCAACAAAGGATTGGGTTTGGTGTTTATCTGACGGATAAAACGTAAAAGAGCCAGACACTTTTTGGAGTTGGGAGGAAAGTCGTAAAGGCAAACAGAAAGGTCACTTTCGCAGAGTCAGTTTGTGTGCACAAAACCATCTGTCCACACACACACACACGCGCACGTAAGGAGAGAGATTTGCACACACATACATTCACCCAGCACTAGTCACCAGACTGTGCCAGGCGTCATTTGTTGATGGGTGGATGGATAGTTGGATACAGGATGGATGGATGCAGGCTAGATGGTTGGAAATGGGATGAATAAATGGCTCGAACAATGGATACAGGATTGTTAGGTACTTGAATAAAGTGACAGATGTTGCAGTTTGGAGAAAAATTCTGCCTGGCAAAGCAGTCAATTTAATTGTGCCATAGAATAGGCGCCTGTTTATATATGGAGTTTACGTGAGTCATCATTAAGAAGCGGGGATAAAGCGCTCCCATGAATACCCAGGCCGGGTAAATGTCTCGGCCCATGAAACCTAGCTGCTTGGTTTATGTGGTAAACAAACATAACCTCAGGGGGTTAGTTATATAAAAGACACGCATATAAGGTCAAGCGCTCTTAAAGACTGCAGCAATATACCTCTATGTAATCACACTGGATATCAAACCACAAGATCAGATGGAAAAAGTTCAAACGAATAAATTAGCTAATACTTAACACTGGCAGATCTGCATAAAAACAAAGACATTCCTCTTCATTTTATTCCCTTCTCATTTAAATTCAATCGGTGCTTCAAAGCTGCACTTTGTCACACCCGCCAATTCGCTTAATCAAACAAGGATGGCGGTTGAAAGTCTAAAATCACGATTTTCGGACACATCGAGGTCACTCCATTCCACGATATGATAGCCGAATTTCTCTCCTACACCCAGAGGAGTTTTGTTACTCTGTGCATATTCGTAAATGTACATGGTGTTGTCCGCATAATTTTTCAAAAAAATATCATATAATCCTCCCTCAACGAGACCTGATTTTAGTGGCTAAGTGTTAATACCAGTGCCTTTTCCTGGTACAAAGAGAGTGAAAGACCAAGTGGTTGCCTGTCTTTGAAGTGGCTTGTTTTTCTAGCCAAATATGACTAATTGCATTTACATGGTGGTTTCTTACCATTTATATGGATTAAGAAGGCCTCAAAAGAGCTGTCTCGTCACCACGGGTGGAGCATCCTTGAAGCCACATGTCCACGGATGCTGAAGGCAGGAAGTGATTTCTACACAGACTTGGATGCATCAGCATCGCGCTTCTCGAAACTCTGATTCCACCTCAGCCATCAAGCCTAACTCCACCAAAAGTCTTTACCTGCCTCGTGTATGTGGATTGCAAACCCATATTTTCACTAAGAACCACATCGGCAAATGAGAATTACATATTGTGACGGGGATAGGATGTAAAAGTACATCCTAAGAGTGGATCAAAAGATTCTTTCTCTCGAGATAATTAGGATTAGTGAGTTTGTAAAAAGAAGGCCCGTTCTCTATTGGCGCAAGACAGCTACAGCTTAGGTGTGATGGAAGAGTGGTGCTAGCCTACCTCATCTTCCATATTCCTCTGCTTATGTATTTTTAGGCACCAGCTCATGTCCATCCTTTCCTGGCATTCACATTTACCAATAGCTTGATCACTTGGATGGGTGGAAGGTAAGAGTGAATGAAAGGAAACTAGTGTTTCATGGCTTTAAAATAAACAGGAATTGCATTCATTCCTGTATACAGACAGGTAGTTTCTGGTAATCTCAATCCAAAGTTGGGTGAAAGCTCGTTCGCGCTCTCCTCAACAAAAAGATGTCGAGAAATACACCTCCCAAATGGACTTCAATCACATTCAATTGGAGACGATGAGCAGCTTCGAAGGCAGACAACACTAATCTTTGATTTTGCAGCAAACTCGAATCTCGTTGAAAGAGGGTCATAGATAGTGAATGATCCCAAATTTCGAATAATGGGATATCTCTTAAGAGAATTTCCATAGACAGCTTCATATAAATTTGCGAACACGCGCAGAGCGATAAAATCTCTCTCGATTTGGAAGCCAATTTTGAATATCACGCAGTCGAACAGAGTGGTCACATTATGTCGAAAATGGTCTTAATCGGCTTGAACCTCTTGCATTTGTTTAAATTAACGAATCAGTAGGCCTAGAGAAGCACAATTTTAAGTGGTATCTGATTTAAATTGAAAAAAAGAGCAAAAGTAGGACAACGTTTTATTTTTATGACCAAGCTTCAAATCTTCACCCCGGCAAGTTTGCAAGGAATCAAAAAATTCTTCTTAAAAACCCACAGCTTTGAGATTTCTAGTTTGTCTTCACCAAAGTGAATCCTTTACCTCGTGACCTTGCTTGATTGCCTTTTATAAAGTGACCACCAGTTTTCCCACCAAAACAACTAGCACATTTCAATACAATACTACCTTTTTTTATCCAACTGTTTCCATAACTTTAATTCCTTTAAATCAAATTAATTATATCTTAGTGGTATCTTGTTTCACACTTCAACGTTTTTCCCATTTCTTGTACTTTTCTGTGTGATTCTCCATAGATTCCGGTCATCATCGAATGATCATTTGTTACAAATATGGGACGTAAGTTCTTATATAGTTTATTATAAATGCTTATTGCACAAAATCATGAACATTTTGATGAGTCTTGAACAAGAAAACAGTATTTCCATCTTATTGGTCCAAGGAAAAGTTAAAGTTAATTTCCATTTTTTGCATAACTTTTAAAGAGATGAAAATAAAAAAGTCCTTTAGTATAACAATAAGGCATTTGCGCTGTAATAATTGGCAACTCTTTGAGGTCTTTGCGTTAAGCGGATGTACATTATTCCCTTTTCCTTTCTTTCTTGACTTTTAAAAATTCCCACTCCAATTTTTTCTTTCCATGCCCTCAACTTCTAAATGTATAACCATGTGAGGTCTTAAGTCTTCAAGGATTGTACTTCCATATAAAAATACAGCCGTCACTTCGTAATAAATTTCCCTTCCTACTGGTATGGTTAATTACCGCTGTAGGAAAGACTCCAGCCCTACAGTTCCCCATAGATTTTAGGGGCAATCTTGATAGAGCCCCGCCATACCCGACTTAACTGGTCAATTTGGTCGCTTTAGTGGGCGTTAGAAGATCAGTTTTCTTATAGAAGCAGAGAATCATTAGTCACTCATCCAACGAATACAAATTATATGCACTTTTAAAGTGCTCTTCCTCCACTTTTTATTGTGATTGCAGACATTAATTACCTATGTCGCGAATGCGTGGGATAACATTATTTTTGCGTGGGTGTCTCCCGTAACTGCACAGGCTTATTTTCTCGCTTTTGCATTAAAAGCGCTTCCCAGCCCTTTCTGATTGGCTAGCTAATCTTCGGATGGATTGTAGAGGGGGAGGGAGGTTTCGGGGGAGGCCGAGCGAGGAGGCGTCAGAGAAGGTGGCAGCAAAAATTGTGAGTTTTATGGCGACTAGGTTCTGTTAGTTACTTGGCCGTTTATGGTGCAGGTCTGTGTGCGTGTACACATATGCAGGCATTGCACGCATAGTGGATGGGAGGTAAGGTTAGCCAATAGGCAACCTCGACCAGTCCTCGTGGCCATATAAATAGCACACTAGGTTGAAGTGCTATACACTACCTAACCATGAATTACTACAGTCGGTGTGACTGGTTCTCCACCACTGATCATGTTGCTTTCGACTCACAACAATCACTGCATCAGCTACACCAACCACAGACACAATTCTGGGGACCGTCGATCTCCTCTCCAGGCTATCATTCCACTCTTGATAGTATCGGTGGGATTAACTTTGATGCTATCAACGAACGCGTCACTTCATCATTCGCCAGCGCAAACGAAAGCAAACAAGGTTAGCTATTCTTTCATACCCTCATGGCTCATTTGTCTTGTTCAAACTTAACCAGTAAGGTCAAATAACTTGCTGTATGAACCTGGGAGGGAGAAAAGATAGGAATATTTTTCTCCTAGTTTTAATTGTATCATGAAGTCATTTAGATACATTTCATTATCGCAGTGATTTGAGAGTTACCGCTTTCCATTCCCTCTCCTCCACCCCACCCCGCTCCGCCTTCCACTTTTCTCCTCAGGGCAAAATAATGTATTATTGATTGATCTCCTCAAATTTTACCAATTTTTTCCTAAATTTTGGTGGTTTTGTTAGGAAATTCATTAAGAATGCACTTTTATGGGGTGCAGGAATTTGGACGCTTCAGTAAAACAGTTGTAACTACATGACATGGCGTGGTAAGGTAAGCAAAAGGGGAGAGCTCTAACCCACTCCAATTTTCACTCAATTTCTTTAAATGTTCATAACTTCTAGTTTGACGCTAATTATCTTTATTTCAACAAATGTTTCAGTGAATTTACAAACACCTTCTAGTGTAGGAGGTCATCTTCTATTTAGAGATTCAGTACCTGCCAATAGCTCAACCGCCTTGCTTAAATAAGTCCCACAACTATCACAACGATGAGACTATGATTGGAGACGAGGTGGAGGAGGGCGAAGGCGGCGATGACGATGAGGGAGATGAGGAGGAGGAACATGAAAACGACGAAGAAGAGGAGCAGGAGGAGGTGGAAGAAGAGATTACAGAGCTAAAAGATGTCTCCGCAACAGGCGGTGGAGGCCTATCACAACAACGCCGCAAATCCACCGCTCCACATCCACCCTTTCGATCCACCTCAAAACGAAAACCTCGTATTCTCTTTTCCCAGACCCAAGTCTACGAATTGGAGAAGCGATTTAATCTACAGCGCTACCTCTCGGCTCCGGATCGGGAGCAGCTGGCGCTACAATTGAAGATGTCTTCACAACAGGTCAGTTTACAGAACAAAATTGACTTTTTACAGCGGTTTTGTTTAAACGCGAGAATGATGCCGCCTACCGGATTTGAAAAAAGTAGGTATTTTTAGACTTGTAAAAAAAATAAACCGTCCCAAAAGATGGAGTAACTGGTTCAATTGTGATGAAAACGAGCTAAAAAAACGGCGGTGGGGGAAGGCGTTTCGAAGGTTTTTTAAGCCGGTAGGAGGAGGGCAGTTGGGTGCGGATAGGTGGGTATTCGGGTGAGTAAACGACCTTTGCATTTATTGACATTCCATCCACGCTCCATCTCTCATTCCATTGTCACCACCACCACTACTCATACCTAGGAGTGTAAAGTTTACTGGTCTATTTGCGAACAAATAATACCGATTGCAGATCTATTTGCTCATTCAAATGGGCTGCCTGTTTGACCTTAGAAAAACAAAAAAATTGGCTGTCTTTTCCCCCTTCCCTCTGTCTCTGTGTCGGTGGATGTGACTAGACCAAAAGATTTCCACACTAGATCATAAAGTCTCCCAACCATTTGTTAAACTATAGAAGTCTATTCCTAATATCGCCGACGTCCCATCCATGTTACTGACCGTTTTCGCCCTTACATCTTTTCGCACTACCAACCTTCCTACTATCTGTCTGCCTAACTGATTGACAGAATCCGGGAGTAAAATCAGCCTATCTGTAATAACATGTGTGGTCTTGACTTGCATCAACAATCCATCCCTCCTCCTGTCAACCGATATGTCAATGAGGCATGCAGTCAGGCCGTCCAAATGATTAACAACTTTGACACATGCTGCGACATCCAGCAGGGTCGATATTACTGATTACCCAGTTGGGGAGATAGCAAAATCCATCATGGAAAGAGAAGGAGATGGCGGATCTAATGTAAGACTGTTGGAATTAATCACGTAAGGGTAAGTGGCATCTCTCGGAGCAGGTGGACAGTTGCTTCACATGAGTTTACACCAGCGTTATCGCATGAATAATCACAGATGTAAACTTTTGGATAAATGCATGACTGCTCGGTTGTACTGCGTCCATCCGTAGTGACAGAGAGGGATAGGCCCTTTAAAAGACCCTCCAACAGGTGTTACCATCATATCGCCTCATTCCGCCTCATATTTGTCACTCCATTCTAGTCTACCCCTTTTCTGTGCAGAACGCACACGATTTTTATCATCGCTTCATTTTTTACTACCTCTTACCACCAAAATATGCCCATTTTGGATCAATGTGGTCACTTCCAGGAGCATTATCTCCATTTATTTTATATCTGTTGGAGGAGGTGGCGGGAGAATGGGTATATTGGGGTGCACTTTTAAATTCTCTATTCCATGAGGTGTTGGGCGAAAGAAAGACACCAAAGCTTGTAGTTCCCATGAATAATTTATTGACAACATCAATAAGGTGGAATGTGTGGCACTTCCACACTTTTTCTCGCCTCCCCGTCCTCCATGTCCCTTCTCTGATCCCAAACCTGGTGATCATAGAGCTGGAGGCAATTCTAAGGCTACATTTGACACAATTATATTCAAGAATACAGGTGTATTTTATTATCATTCAGTATTTGGGTGATGTGGCATTAATTATGGGGATGTTAAATGCTATCCAGACGTCTAATGAAGAAAACGCCCCGAGGGGAAGGAAATTTTTATTACCCAATGTTAGGTTAGCCGGTTGGGGATAGCATTGCCCTTTTTTCTGCCCCATCCGCTTTCTCCTCCCAGTCTCGCTCCGCCTTCATTTTCACCTTCTCATCTCACTTTTCCTCTGCATTTTGGATATTACATCAGCCACCTTTGCTCCTTCCTTTCACTCAGACTATTGCAGATTATTTATCTCTTTACGGAGTAGACGTTTTGCCTTTTTTTCTTTTTCTGCTTTTCTTTTTTCCAAACAGGTTAAAATTTGGTTCCAAAATCGCCGCTACAAATTGAAGCGCCAACTTCAAGAAAAGGGTTTAGATCCCGCCATGATTCAGCCATATTTGACACCTCCAACGTATAGGGAGTTTGAGACTTCTCTGCGTGGCTCCGAGGAGGCCTATGAAATTGACGCCTCCAGCAGTGCTACTAAAACTGTCATTAGTACAGCCACAGAACAGCCCCAATGGCAGCCCTATTCAACAATGAGTCCACGACCTTGGTATCGCTTTTCAGAATTCAGGACACCGTGGGTATCAACAGGGTTTGATGCTGGTCCTACATGGTCCAGTTTAACATATGGACGACCGCCTACTCAACACCTTCAACCGGTGCGTCATCAGAATGGTGTATTCTACGAAAAGGAGACTGCTTCTTCCGCCACCAGTAGTGTCTCTGCTGGTCTCGTCACCAGTGCTCTCTCCTGTCAGGAGGGCAGCTTGAGTTGTGAAGGCTGTGCGTAGTTGACGCTAGTCGAGGACTTCTTGGAGTTTTTCAGCTATGCAAAACCACTAAAACCACCCATCCACACACATCCGTTAAAGGGTTTGAGATTTTCTCAGAGTTATTCAATATACGACGATTGTGTACCTCAGTTTGACTTATTTTTTTTTCAAAGATCCCCAAAAGTCCACCCCGCAAATCTGATAACTTTGTCCAAATCCTCCATTTAAATGGTCCGATTAGATGTATGAAGGAATTTCAAAGGACCCACGTCCACCGAAATTGGAGGAGCATTTAGAAGGGTCAAAACGGGAAATATTCATGGCATAGGATAGGCATGAGCTACGCACTAGCCAGGTTGATATCATCACAGGACTGACCCAGCAAGAAGCGAAAATAATTTATAGCCAGGTCAGCCGGGTATGTTGCACGCCGGTGCCGGGCCTTTAATCTCGCTTTCTCTACCTCTCTCACCCCCTCTCGCTCGCTGACTCTCGTCCACTCTCTCAGCAGCCACTTTATTGATGAAACGATGGTGGGTGTAGAATCGGGTAATTTGGGAGAACCAAGGAAGCGAGGGAGGGGAGAGTGCGATAAGGTCAGGACTGGCGGCAACAGGGATGGAAACTTTTATATCATTCACGAGTACTTCCAGAACAGGTGTGTGTGTGTGCGCAGTGTGCGTGTGTGTAAGGATGCGTGTCCATGTACACGGACGTGAAAGTCTGTAATTTCTCCTATCATTAAAACATCCTATTCGTCAGGTGGTGGAATTTAGACTAATACGTTCACTACCACCGTCACGCATATGTGACACCTTTTTTAATACACAACTATGATAATAGGCAATCTTTAAAAGAAGATGAGATAATCACTGTAACATTTCTGCTAGCAGATGAGCTACTAGCAGAACCAGCAGAAGTAGAAGCACATTTCCCCTGAAGTAACATCCTGCAAGAAAAAGGAAAAATTTAGGAGGAAATTGAGACGATTCGCCAACTTTACGACCCTAAAAATTCGGTAGAAATAGGTGGAAAATTTCGTTTACCCCTCCTTTCTCTTAGAAATGACTTAACAGTTAATAGGCGGAGGACTGCACGATAAGGCATAAAATGTTCGGAAAAGGCGGCCCTCTTGACACCTAAGGCGAAGGCATAATAACGCCAATGGAACGCAATAAGAAGTGGTCAAATTACGACTTAATTGTTTTCGGAGAGGAGGGAAAAGGAGGCGGTTTAGACCCTTTTTGCGTTTGTTACTCTCACTGCTGGTTAGTTGTTCACACTGGGGCATGGCTGTAAACAGCCATAAATTTACACCAGCGCAGTAATTAGGTTTCGTGAGAAATTTCTCCCTACTGGTCGGTTTTTCAAACAAAGACTAAAGAAACCACTTTCCCTCATTTGCATTTGAATCTCTTGTAAAGAGGGAAATCATGAAAAAGTTTCAAATATGTCGTAATGATGTTTAAAGCTTCATAATGTTCTTTAAAATCTTCTGTAGTTTTAGTCTAATAGCTTTTCTATTAGCTTCCAGAAATAAATAAAATCTTGACTATTTAGTGGGTAGGGCTGCCTAATCTAAGTGCTGTACATGATGAAAAACCTTTTCCAGAAAAAATAACCTCCTAATCTACTTAAACTTCTCACTTTTTTAAAATTGATTAACTTAAATCTAAATAAGCAGTTTGTGGCACAATTTGTTACAAATGGTAGGCATAACGTGATAAAAAACCGCGTGTCACACATATGTGACACTAAAAGCAGATGGGAATATTAGGCCACGTCCGCATTGATCGATTAGAAAAAAGGATAACTGAGTTCCTAATAAACACGGATGAAGAGTAAAAAACATGAATCATAAGGTCTACATGAAAATGGAACCCCTCAAATTGTCCACTGCACACATTCATCATGTCTCAAGGTCATTGGCGGTGGCAACGCCGGTAGCCAGTTACTACTCTTTGGACTACATTTGATGTGCAGCATGCCTATTTTGATGGTTGGAATGTTTATAGGAATCAGTTAATAACTGTCATCTGTCAACACAGGGTAACAGGCATTCTGAATATCTGTACCAAAATTGTTTTCAAACACTGATCTTACTGGCAGTTTTCAGGGCTTCTGATATCTTGCATCCACTAATCCATTATGTATCCGTCCACCCAAATTGGATCCATCCATATATCCACCCATCCATCTATATATACCGTATCCACTTTATCATCCCATTTTAATCCATTCATCTCGTATCCATGCTTCCATCCTGTATGTTTCCATCCATTATCCAACTTGGTTCCGTTTGTCCGTTTTGCTTCCATCAATCTATCCATTTCATATCCATCCATCATTTTACCACGTATCCCTTCATTCATTCATTCATCTCGTATCTATCCATCCCTCCCTTAATCCATCCATTTATCCGTCTATCCTGTAGCCATTTATCCATTCGGAATCAATCTATCTTCAATTCATCTATCTATGAAACCATCCATTCTCTATCCATTCAATCAACCTGGGTGCATTTATCAATCATTTTATCCGACCATGAATCCTGCATTCTTCTGCATCCATCTATCCATCTTTTTGTTTATATAAGTAGAAATCTTACCCGTCTGCTTAAATAAGGCAAGAGGCTGTAGAAGATGAATCCCTCAGGCAAATAATGACTCCCTACTATTTTCATGAGACTTTCGCAACACCCATATAAAGTGACAAGAAAAGACAGAATGAATCAGGAACTTTTGTGTTTGCATTAACTATTCACTTCTTTTACGACAATAATTCTAGTGCTCAGCCAGTTTCAGTTGATGTTCTCGCAGCTTCAATCGAGCCTCCAACTCCTGTTCCACTTCATCCATGAAGCTCAAAGGTTCCGGTGGTTTGGCTTCACACGAGTCCTCAGAGGGTACACTTCTTCGGCGTCTGTTTAGTGGTTGGTCAAAGTATATACCAATATCGCTGTATGAACCGAAGGATGCACCACTTAGTGAGGGGCATTCCTTCCAGAGAGCAAGGTTGAGTTTAGGTACTTGAGAGCAAGAAACTAGGTCTTTGTGGTTCTTCGGTCTTATGAATGCATCCAGAGGCACTTCGGTGATATTGTCACCATTTTCACAGATTACCCTGGATAAATAACTACCCGCGTCACGAATTTCTGCGAGTTGAGCCGTGGTAAAGAGACCCGGTGATTCATACCAAAGTCGATCTCCAGCCCGAAGTCGCTTGAACTGATCAGCTATGATACAGGCAAATGTGGGACCCATTCGCGCACCAGGTAACACATCTTCCAAGACACCGCCAACGAATAGATCTATGTTTCCTGGATGACCGTAGATAGCACGCAACTCCTCCCTTATAGCCGGATCACGAATCCTGTCAGCGAGATCTTCGAACGAATCCGGCGCTGCAGAGCTTCCAAGACCACAAATCTTGTAGGCATAACTAGTATAGTGCTGTAGGCCATGATCACGTCCACGTTGAATATTCAAGGAGGCCAAATCAAGGGCTAACTGATGTGCCATAGCAAAGAGACGTTCAGTTAATTCAGGGTTCAGAGAAGGCCTTCTAATAATATCGCGAATGCCGTGGAAAAGCAGGCCTCGCAGAATCGGATCCATTCCTCCATCAGTGAGCATTTTGTCGGGAGCAAAAAATGCTTTGTGCAATAGTAGATGGCCTTCCGGGATGGTCTCCCAGTTTTCATTTAGACGGAAATAGATGGGCGGTACCATAGTGTGACCGAAGCGGAAAGCCGCGGTGGCAAACTCATTACTGATTGTTGGATTTACAGAGCTATCATAACCTGGATAGGTCTCACCACCCATCATCTCCATGCCACGTGGACCCAGTACCTTTGGAAGCCAAACACGGTAGGTGATGGATTGCATTAGGGCTCCAACTATCTTTCGCGCCTCGTGGTACAATCGGTCACCCGACCAATGAGGATTAAGGGAACGCAACTCGTCAGCGATGCGATTGTGTTCCCGCATCCAAATGGTGTGCATAGATAGCAACCCGAGATTCTCATTGCTCCGGTGATCACCAGCTTTGAAGCAGGGGACAAAATCCTGTTGTGGGTCTGCTTGACAGTCCACCTAGAAAAAAGCCGAATTCGGTCATTCCTATCAGTCCCGTAAGATTCAGCCAGTTCAGTAGAGGCATGAGCTCTACTCATTCCCATAAGTAATATGATAGGGCATTTAGTCACTCATCAATAGGCCGTTTGAGTGGCGGAAATGCTACAAATGCGGCCGCACATTTATATTTACAAACTCCAGAGTATGGTGGTGGTTTATGCACGGTCCACAGCCTGGGTAGTCAGTCCTGCGAACACGCATTTCGTGTAACCTCCAGCCTAACAAATGTTTTACCTTGCGATTGTCTTCTATCTTCGCAGGTTGTACTTCTGCTTGACAACACGGTCTATAGCCTTTCAGCCCTTCTTGCTTCAACAATAAATCGTTTGCCTTATTGGCAGTTTATTGCGCCATTAAAGAAGACCTGGATCTTCACACTGGTGGCGGTTGAAAGTGATTTGAGCCAAAATGACTGTGTACCAAACCTTTGTAGTACTGTTGGAAGATACCTACTGAAAAGAGAGGCTTATCAGGGCCACACCAACTTGGGATAGTCATCCTTATTTGGTATTTGGTAGTTGAGTAAAACCCAGGCGAAAGACTCAGAGAAGGGGGTCTTCATTCATGTACACGTTATAACAAAAAGTATGCAACTTTAAAATGACCAGCATTTTAGAAGGCCGTTTGGCTTTGTGCAGTAGGAGGGCAGTGATTTCTCCATGCTCAATAGAAAAACCTTGATTACAACGTACTTGCCACTATGCACCATTAAATTTAGATCTTCAATGACCTGGCGGTTCTGTGAGTATTTTCTGAAGCCCTTAGAGAATCAACTACCGTCCAAAGACCAAGAAAGCAGTCTAATTAAAAATAAACCCAAGATTGAGGCAGCTGCGCAATAGTAATTGATAAGCGTCTTACTGAAGGTTTAACGTGGGTTGTTGGGGCTCCTGTGGCTTGCACTTTTACCTGACGGTGCAGCCATCAAACCGTGTTTATAGCCTACCACGAACTGAGCACGTGGATTTCCATACTTCCGTGGCTTTTACGACGGCCATTTTAGGGAATAGTTAGGCTACTTGTCTGGCTGAAGTAATAAATAAACCAAAATGGAAACTCGACAACAAAGAGGGAGATAAACGCTCCTTTTAAAACTAGAAACATTCCATTGTTGCCGATGGTAATGAAGCAGACAAAAATAGAGTTGGTTTGGAGCACTATGTAATAATTCTTTTGTGTAACCAATGAAGACTGTTCACTGAGCATGCCATATTTGCAGGAAAGTTTTCTATTTGGGAGAAAGAGAAGACGTGACGACTGCAAAATGTTAAAATAAAAATTTTTAAAATGTTGTTTGGTTTTTTCGAGTTCGAGAATAAAAGCTAACCCTTCTGGGAAAAATGTTTCGAGACAGTCCAATTATGGAAATAAATAGTTGTACACTGAAGCTGTGGAGGGCACCTTGAATTGAAAGCATGAAATTTTGTTTTGAAGAAATTAAAGAGTGTTGGAACAGAGTGAATGGGGATGGCCTACAGGATGAAAGACATTACGCAGAAAGGAAAATAACGAGGTACTTGAATTAAAAACACCTTGTAATCTAACACGGGAACAAGGCCATTGAAACTGGTTTATCCAAAGAAAAAATGTGTACAAAATACATCCTAACATAAGATCTTTTTCGGTAGTGACTGCTTTAATAGTAAGACTTAAATTAAATATAATAAATTTTAGTAAGATATTCGAAATTCCATTGGTGTAAAATTGGCAAGTTTTTGCCACTCTAACTCGGACCTTTAGGTTTGTTAATTTAAAGAAGCAAGACGAATTTCCAAGCTGCCTGTCACAACTTTTAGGTGAGAAGTGCAAAAGTCATTTAAATAATAACCTTTTTGGTAATTTTGTAGTCAGTTAGAAGAAAACAATGTGCATTTGAAGAAATAGCTGAAATTTACACAGGGTAATTCGAGGAAAATGACCAGATTTTAATGCTACTTTAGGAAACAAATTGAAGTCATTTGCTGAAAGTGTGAACTACGTACTTGAGAAATTTCCACCAGTGCATCTTATTCACGTCAGTACACTTTACCTGATGGACTGAGGAGGCGAGTTAACTTTCACCAATAGCAAACAGGAGTTTATTAGACTCCAATCGTTACAAAATTTTTTTAAAAATTGCATTACAGAACATTTAGAAAAGGTTTGATTTAAAATAATAAAGTATACCACGTCAGAAATGCTTTACATCTGGCGAGGAATCGCTCAAGCGTGGATGTATCACAAGGAGGAGGATACGCACTTTCAATCACTCTACAGAATAGCCAATTTACCAATGTTTACCCTTCTTGTGTAGTTCAGGGGAATGAATGAGTGACTGTCTGACGACCGATTAGTCAATGGTAATAAAGTCCAAGTAAATAACTCGCTTCCTACCTCACGCTCCTAGTGCTGAGCCGTTGCATAAGGCTACTTCCTCTGCCTGTCTGTCCGTTTGTACATGTGTGTGACAGACTTTAGAAGACATCGTTCACTAAGAACCCTCCACTTGCTAAAAGCTAAGCAAATATTCTTCATATTTATCAACTCGACACAAATGGGAGCAACTGAAAGACTTGTGAGAACGGGCTCATCTGCTTCCTCTTCCTCTCGTTGTTTCAGAATGGAAATTTCTCCGAGACCAGTAAATTAGTGGAAAAAAGATTCTATTTACATCCTTACTCCGTTCCTCATAAACCACGGATCGCACCACCCCCAAAACCAATTAGCTGATGAGAGGATTTGTACTTCGTCTAGAAAGGAAAGGCAAAGTCTCTCCACTTAATGACTCTCACCTCCCCTTGACATTAAGACTAGACTATCACATGATTGCATGTGCAATATAACAGACAGCTGGGGAATAAATGCGTGGGAGAGAAGCGTAGGTGGTACGGAGCCAAGGCCTATCTTACCAACTAGAAACATGACGGCAATTTTGTATCTGCAACTCATCAGCAATGCAATATAGGCATCATCTAGGTGAAAATAATTATTGGTATTGACAGCGGTTACCTGCCCACGGATATTGAAGGGGAGGAGCTGCTTCCCTGCGGGGGTGGGCATGCCCCCTCGCAGGTGGCCTTCATCGTAAAGGGTGTCACGCAGTTGGGAGTTCTCAAAATCCTCACTTCCGTACACGTTGGAAGCGTCAAGATAGGCGCTGATCTGATTCAACTGTTCTCGATGCTGTGGTCGTCCC